GGTTTTGTGATGTCTGTTTTCACTGGGAATGGAATTTCCACTGAATTGGGGCTCAGGGCTGAGGACCCAGTGCGCCGTGTCTTTCAGCTTCTGATCTAGGTAAGTGGGATGCTATAAAAGGGAGGGGAAGTTTTCGGTAGAAATGAGTGATCAAATGGGAATTTTACACACATTATTTGTACTCAGTATCATTTATCAGTGGTCAAAATGGGAAAAATATGTACAAAATGTCTTATTCCAGTGATTTACAGGGAACAGGCAGACCCCGTGCCCCTCCCTCCCTGTGCTTTGGTTTGTTGCTTCCTTCATTTATTCCACAGACACATGGGGCACCTAATCCAGGAACAGGGATTGAAAAGGCAGCCTGACCTCACATTTCAGTGGACGGGGTGACCAAATGGCCATATCCCACACCAACATTGGTCACAGGACCTGGAAAGGGCAGTGAGGGAAACGTCTGAGGCAGAGACTCCCCAGACATCCCGGAGGGGCTCCGGCGACATCGCCTGGTCTCTTCTGCAAACAGGCCTGCGCTGGCCACTCCACTGACAGGACGCCCTGCAGCCCCAGTGCCACGGGGCCTCCCACCCGGCCCCGCTGGGTTGCCTGGGCTGTGAGGGGATCCCAGGCGTGGGGTCGCTGTGCACCGTGTGCTCCAGCTTCCCCCACATGAGTCACTTTGCACGAGCTGTTCCACACACACGAGCATCATATTCATGTGCAGAGCTGGCTGCACTAGAAACTGTCAGACAGGTAATGTAATTACATGCAAGGCGGTATTTTATTCATAATCATAAAAGGAGTACAATGCTGATTCCCTGCCCACTCAGGGTACCACGCCCAGCAAGGACGGACTGACTCAGCTGCCAGGCTCGGGTCTCTGCGTGGAGGAACAGTGGTTGGCACTTTGTAAACAGCTACAGTTATCCAAAAAGTACAACCCCATCTTCAATAGCTTCCCATAAGCTATACTGATCAATCTGCAACTAAGCGAGAACATGCTAAGGGCAGACCATTTTAATCAAGGTAAGGAAAGAGACGACATCTAACAGCTAGGGAAGAATACGACTCTGCGAGGATGGCTTTTATCAGGGCCTCACAATTTCTTCTGAGAAATAGTTTCTTCTAGAATTTTTTCTGAGCCCTCTGGAGGAGCTGAAGTCCCAGTATGCCAAAGAGGGTTTGGGGAGGGTGTGCCAGCTTCTGCCCCTTGTGGGCTCTGCCCGAAGCCCCCAGTGCCCCCTTGGAATCCCTGGTCCCTCTGGGCCAGGCCTCCCTGGCCACGCGCCACCTGCCCAGCTGCAGCGCTGGTTCCAGGTAAGCAGCGGAGCCCAGCAGCGTTTCAGATCTACTGCCTGGCCTTCCACCTGCCTTTGCATGTGATTCTATAATCATCAAGATTTAGTTAAATTGCAGGTATGGGGGTGAGAGGGTAAGAGAGAAACACACAGAAAGGTAGTAGACATTTTTTATAAAAACTTCTGCCCTTAAATCAGAGAGCAAAGTCCAGGATACATCGTACGGCACTGTAAATATAAACCTAACTTTTTTTTAGGAAGTAAAACTGATTTAAAAATACAGGAAAGGCAGGTATACAGAAGACGTGTCACAGAGAAGAACCAGCCAGCCCGGGCACAAGCCCCTGCCCTCTCTGAAGCCACCTGGCTCCTTTCTCAGCCACGGCCCTCCCGATTCTGACCCCGCTGCAGCCCCAGGGCAGGGTCCAGAGCTCCCGCCACACAGCCAGGGTGCCCCACCCCAAACCAGGACAGGGGACTTCACCTCTGCTCAGGGAGCAGCAGCAGGCAGCCTGCTTGCTGCCAATCACCATGTGTCATTGACACGGCTGACTTGACTTATTTATTTAAAGTGAGAACACATTTAATGTGATGATTAAGAGATACAGATTTCACAAAGTGCAGCCTGAGACTGAGCAGGCCCACGGACACACCGCTGATTCTAAAGGTGATCTTTCTAGATGTGCATCACTTCACTGAGACAGAAAGATGAGGACCTCCTTTGCAAGTTCTGTAACTTCTGAAGAAAGAACATTTATATTATCACTATATAATATTAATACCTCACATCATTATAGATTATCGTCATTATATTCTATATTTATTATGTAGTATAGTACTGAAGTAGTCATTATTGTGTATTAATTTTTAAGCACCAATTAATGTATCATTTAAAATATATTTAAGACATAAATTAAGTCTCTAAGTGTGTAATTACGTCCCTGCCGGGGGCCCTGAGAGGCAATGGCTTCTCACTGCCTCCCTCACAGGGACTCTTCCCCACTAGGCTCAGACCGGGGAAGAATTTGTCGCCAGCCTGCTTTTACTGCTTTTAATCCCCACGTGTGCTGCCCCCGCCACGGACTTTTCTCTTTTGGTCCGAACCTGTGACCTTGGGCTTGTAAGGCTGTGCTCTAACCCATGTACTTTTCTTAATCAAACTCTTCAGTGTCACCAGCACCTCCAAGGCTGGAAGAGGCAGGATAAAAGAAATTCGAGGCATCTCTGGGAGAACTTTTACCAAGAAGAAAAATTCTTAATTACACATTTGGTCTCTGGATGACGTGTTGATGGAAAAGCGATGCATTGCACAAGCAGCCCTTGTATACAGTCACAGTCTCCCAAAACTGCACACTTCCCTCTCAAGGGGACAGCTGGCGAGAGGGCCCCGGGGCTCGCAGACCTGCCTGGGGAACAGCGTCCCGTGGCCCATCCCCTCTGTCACCTGCTGCCCACACCTGCTGCCTGCACAGCAGCCTGGTGGCCAGGGTTCACGCAGGTGCACGCTCTTCTTTTCGTGAAATGGTGACCACAATTTTAAGGGGGTGCTATGATCAAATAAGTTTGGAAACATGGCATATTTCTTGGAGATAGAAAGAGAAGAAGCATTTTTAACTTGTTTATTTAATCCAACATTTATAATTACTTGACTCTGGACCTCCCCTACATACACACATACAACACACACCACACACAAACATCACAAACGACACGCATCACATGCAACACACATAACGCACACAACACACATTGCACACACAACACAACACACATCATACACGTCACACAACACACATAGCACACACAACACACACATCACAACACAGTGTACACATCACATGTACCACACACAGCACACACAACACACACATCACAACACAGTGTACACATCACATGTACCACACACAGCACACACAACACAACACACACAGCGCACACACAACACAAACAACACACATATCCCACATCACACACACAACACACAGCACACACAGCATACAGAATACACACACACAACACACAGCACACAACACAGATAACACACACATCACAACCAACACACACTTTTCTTGAAATACTTGTTAATACCATTGAACACATCTGAAAACACCTCTGTAAACTGGGAAGACCGGAATTTTTAATAACCACGCCAGATGTGTTCAGCGTACCCCTTGTCAAAGCAATAACCGCACTGGAAAGGTGCGCACTCATTTTGTTGATTCTGCTTTGTTCACAGATCTTTTCCAACCACTGTAGCCTGTCCCCTCAGTACCATACCAGCGGCTGACCATGCTCAACAGCTGGCTTCAGCCTTGCAGACAAAGTTAGGTGGGGGCCTCACAGCCCCTCCCAGTCCTGAAGTTGGAGAAGAAGGTGGTGGCTGAGCCACAGAACCCCCTCCTCCTTCCTTCCTTGTAAAAACTTCACCAAAAGTGCAGCTTCTGCCAAGATTTATTCCCTTTGCATCGATCAGAACCCCTCAAACACTGCAGAATTTCCACCATGGCATAAGTTATCGATGTGGTTACGTGATGATTTATGCATGGACGGTACCACCATTGCCAAAGAAACAAATGAAAGCTGCCTCCGCTTGGGCCTGTTGGCAAGCA